TTGAAGAGCGTTTTTTGTATTTGACTAACTAAAATAATTAAAACAGAAAAAATAGAAAGTAGATCGGAGATGCTCTTATCCCTAATTTAAGTTTTCCTATATGTGACGAGACACAAGTAAAAGTACCTTCATCCATCTATTAATTTCTCTAGCTTAAAAGAGATTGTGGGGGGCTGGAAAATCTTATCAATGACGGGCTTGAAAATAATATTGTAAAATTTTCCATCAACAAACATGGACTTCAATTAGTCAATCATTTTTTCCTTTTTTGGATCTCCCAAGAATTTCAATTGCTAAAGAGTCACCGTAGAGTGAACAAGAGATTCGAGAGCAATGCTATATATCTCAAATCTGTAACTCAAATTTGTATTTCAAATGAAGAAGGACTATTGGATTAGTGGGTCTCATTTAAAAAAATTGATAAGACCCACCCATCCAATGGTCCCACTTCATTTGAAATACAAATTCAAGTTACAAATTTATGATACATATGAACTGCCAATTGTTTTCTATTTATAGCAATTTCTAATTAATTATCGCATTTATGCTTATTTACTTGACTGCATAGTTTGAACTCTCAAATTAACTTAGCTTCTGGTAGACCAACTAGACCTAGATTAGTTAGTCACCTTTAATTCTCTCAAGATTTTGTCAAGAACAGATCAAGTAGTCAGTTTTTGTCAAATGTAAGGCTTGATTTCTTATGAACCCTCCTAGGAGTTCTATTATCTCCTATTTTAGATTTCTCCTCTCTCATTGGTAGATGCTTTGTACACTTCTACTAGATATAGATTAATCGAAAATATTAATAATCTATCCAATATTATAGTTAGGAAGTTTAATTTTTAACTTAATGACAATTTTTTTTTTATAAAAGCAGAATAATAGTTAAAATTGATCTAATTTTTATTTATTTTAATTCAATGATATAAAATTCATCCCAAATTTTTTTTTTCTAGCTCAAAAACATCATCTTCTCTATACATCCCCGAATGTTAGGCAATTCAATCAATACATTCTCCAATATCAATAACCTTACTAATCCGCATCTACCTCTTTCTTATTTTCTTTCTATTCACTTTAATTTTAAAATTGAATAAATTAAAAAAAATGGATATTTAAAATAAAAATATTGCTCGATCTTGATTTTTAGTATTATAGAGTGTCTTCAGACGCGGGAATATTACTGATTTATTTATGTTGTAATAATCTACCAATGTATATGGAAAAAAACCCTTGCATGTGTGTGTTAGTTCATTGAAATCCTCTCTGATTTTTTTTCGTTTGTTGGGTTCCTTNAAAACCCTTGCATGTGTGTGTTAGTTCATTGAAATCCTCTCTGATTTTTTTTCGTTTGTTGGGTTCCTTTCACATTTATGATCTTGCTTTGAAGTGCTTCCGAGATGTCTGCTCTTTAAAAGCTACAAGAACGAGGCCCTGCTTAAAGATATAGGAACACACATTACTCATCCACCAGAAGGCATCCGTCCTTATCCCTATTATATTCTTTTGCATTATTAATGTCTCATTGAGTCGTGTTGTTGCCACTTTTATGTTTGGAACCCAGACGCCTCTGCTAAATTAATGGAGGGATTTCGATTTTTTAACAAACAGTTATTCGTCTAATATGAGTTGTGTAGCATTACTTAATTTATAATACTGAACTTGAGCTCGTAACTATCTATTAAAACGAGCAAACCTAAGTCTTAGACATGACAATGACTAGACAGTGCTTCTCTAAATGTCGCTTATGATACTTGAGGCTGTGGCTTTTTTTTGAGAGGTGAGGTGCTGCCTACCCGAACTAAAACCCGTGATGAAATGGAAGAATTTGAATTTGAGGAACTGTTTTAAGCACTACATGAAAATCTTAGAACAGGGTAAAAGGAGGATAAGATGAAATGCCTTCTCTATTTAGTCTCAAATCAATTGATAAGTAATTTCATGGAGCACAAGGTTTGAATAGTCCATGTCCAAGTCAATGTCAACCTACCATACCAAGTTAAGTAGGCAAGCACCAAAAATTATATGCAAATTGAGCAAATTTAATAGCTAACTTTAGGTTAGTCTCCTCTAAACTTGGTATTGAGTGATACAAAATTGAAATTTGAGTCTCTGGTGGTTTTCACTCACACCCACTACTACTGGAGTCCACGTAGATGTAAAATGGCTTGGTCAAAACTCAGCAATTTCAGCGAGAATGCTTTTGAAAAATAGCCAAACCAATAAAGAAGCATAAAGTGAAAGTGTGCATTGTGCTGTTTTAGGAGACAATACTAGGTCAAAAACAAAGCCTCCATTGTGAAAGCAATGCCTTCTTTTCTTTCTCACCAACCTAAGATATCTCCTCTCAATACATCTATCACCTTTAACATTCCCTCTAGTACCCTGTTTTGAATTTTACTATTTTGTCATGTTTTTATGCACTTAAATAATATTTTAGTACCATTAAAAATTTGTTATTCGAATCTCGAAAAAATGTGGATAAAAATATTTCAGAGATTTTTAACTTCAGATGTTACGTTCGACTCTTGTAAAAGATCTCTTATTTATACGATTTGAGTACTTTGTGGACAATTTTACTAAATTACATTGGAATCAAGAGTTCATTTGTGAAATTCCTTTTTGTATTAAAGATGGAAGTGGGAAACGTGAATCCTAAAGTCTAAATCCCGCCCTCCCATCTTTACAGCTAGACCTGTCAATTTGATCTGAATTCGACCTGTATTCAAATAGTCGGATATGAATTAAAATTTTTTACTTATAATTTGAATTTGTATCAGAATTCGATATCTTAAATTTTCACAAATTCAGATTTAGAAATATTTATATCTGATCTGATTATGATCTGTTTTAAATTATTTATATATTTTTAATTAAATATAAAAAAATTAAGTGATTGTTTAAAAAAATTATATTAAAATTTAGGTATAATTTATTACAATTTAATTAATTAAGTATTTGGATCGAATTTGATTTTTGAATTGTTTATGCATTCAGATACGAACTATTACAATAAAATTTGTCAAATTTTCGAATCAAATTTAGATCGAACTTTTAAAATTAAATTTAAATTCAAAACCCTCAGAATTCAATTTAAATCCAATATGTTAAGAGGTCTATTTATGACTAAAACTAACTAAGAGTACCATAAGTTTGCAACAGGGTGGGCAGGTTCTCCCGGTGACGGCACAAACTGGGGAAACATAAAGCAACACTCGACAGCGAGTCATTGCGATAGTGGGAACTTATAGCCCGCCGTGAACGTTACAAAACCGGCGACAGCCGGTAATTGCGGAGATTTTGCCCTTTTGTCTTCCATGTGACGTGNGTGAACGTTACAAAACCGGCGACAGCCGGTAATTGCGGAGATTTTGCCCTTTTGTCTTCCATGTGACGTGCTTTGATTTCCTGTTTTCACACTTTTTTCTAGATTTTAATTTAGAATTTCCCACTTTTTTTTTAATAAAAAAAAAAGCTGTAGCGAAAAATACAATAGAGATTTATATCTTTTTCGGCAGAGGCCGTTGATTGCGGTTGGAGTCATATTCCATCTTCTTGGTGTTAGGCAAAGAGCAGGGCAATACGGACAATCCACTAATGAGGGCACTCGAGGGACAGTCTCTGAAACGTTTTTTGACTCTTCCGACGACAACCCCATTTTCTTCTTACTTGTATTGGTGATTCTAACCCTCAGGCCTCAGAAACTACAATTAAACGTTTTTAAGTGACTTCAAAAATAGAATATATTACGCACAACTCCCTTAAATTTTATACTTAAATATTCGTTAGTATATTCATTAATAAATTATATTTTACGACTCAAGTTTAAAATATTACACTTATACTAATATTATTTCAATTAAAGATAAAATATCAAATATTTTAAATTTTAAAATCAAAATTCATGTTCTGTTTATGTCATTTATTGAAATAAAATTAAAATTAAAAATTTATTTTTTCTTAAAAAAAATTATAATTAGTACTGTTGATGCCTAAATTTAGACAACCTCCAAGTTAGTTTGGACTTGGACAGTTGGACCAAATAAACTTTTTACCTTAGATCGATTTTTTCCATTATCATGTACGAACATATGAAATAAGTTTAATCAACAGATTTGTATATCCTATTAATCATAATTTTTTGAGAATAATAAATATATAAAAAAATTCAATTCAACACTCAATTGTATACAATTATATTATCTATTAGAATAAACCAAAAATAATAAACAAATCGTCAAACTGTAATAGGCATAATATTTTATATTTTTAATTGAGATAATTTAATTGTTTAATAAATTTTGTTAGGTTCATAACTAATAAGAGATTTAAGTATAATATTTTAAACTTAAAAGGTTTAAGTGATATACGCTTACAAATTTTAGGGTGTCTGCGTATAATTTATTAATGGACATTAACGGCATGAGTCTAAGTGTTACGTAAGTACAAACTTCAAGGAATTTGTGTATAATATTTCAAATATTATGAGTCTATATAATTAAGTAACAAATCTTAGAGGGTTTTCGTGTAATTTTCCTTTAATTTTATTTAACTGATTTCTTCCCCGGATTGCCTGCAGTAATTTCTTGTCCATTGGCCACTTAAATAAATTTTTAATCCAACACCGACCTTTTCCATAATGAGCCGATCAAACTCACATGACTCTCTCTTTCCTCCTCTCTCTCAACCGTTTCAATTCCCCTCCAAATACAAAAAGAAATTTAAAAAATGCATAGAAAATGGCACTTTTCTTCCTCCCTCTCTCCTTATATAGCACCATGAGCTCCTCATCTTCTTCCAAACCCTACTATCTCCCCCTCTCTTTGCCTCTTTCTCCCTTAAGGGTCTCTTTCTTTCTGAGTGGGTTTATCGGAAATTTTAGCTGATAAACGTAAACCAAACAAACATTTTCATTCTTGTGAATGTATATAGGTTCTGTTACAAAACAGATCTGTATAACTCCCTTTTAATTTGTACACTGAAGCTTGGATATCCTCCTTGAAACTCTTTAGTTTTTGACTGGTTTTGATGCATTATATGGAGAGGTCTCACAGAATCTGTTCAATGACGACTCTGTTTCTGCTTCTTGGGATTCTACCTTTTGTGTTTGCTGGCCACGACTATGGCCAAGCTCTCAGTATGAGCATTCTCTTCTTCGAAGGTCAGAGATCTGGTTACCTTCCCAGTACACAGAGAGTCCAATGGAGGGGCAATTCTGGTCTGAATGATGGCAAGACTAGTGGGGTAAGTTCCTCTGTTCTGTCCTATAGTATAAGATTTTCAGTTCTATTTATAGGAAGCCACAATGATTATGAGTCTCTGTTAAATAACTCTAATCTTCAATTTCAATTGATTTAACTAGTTTTTGCGTCAATGTTCGTTGTGTATATCAACTACCGTAGAAAATAAGGGGTATGAATTGGTTCAAACTTTTGAATTGTTTGCAGGTGGATCTGGTAGGAGGGTACTATGATGCAGGGGACAATGTGAAATTTGGGTTGCCCATGGCATTCACCACAACAATGATGTCGTGGAGCATAATAGAGTATGGGACGCAAATGGATTCCAGTGGTGAGCTTGGTCATGCCATGGATGCTGTTAAGTGGGGTACTGACTACCTCATTAAAGCCCACACTCAGCCCAATGTCCTTTATGGAGAGGTATTACCACTATTCCTTCTGTGTGTGTGTGTGGTAACTGGTAAGCTCCCACTTGCTCAATCTTGACAGTGGCATTTAATTGTAGACTGTTGAGCCTGTTTCATTGATATGCTCTGTTTTTCGTTGTGGAGCTTTAGATGCACAAAATAGCGCTTTCAGCTACTTTTATGAAGTTGTTTTCGCTTTCTCAGAATTCATAAAACGGTGCAATCTATCAGTCACTTTTTGTGGGCTCTTACCTACCGAAAACAAAAACTATTAGTGGGTTCCTTGTGTTTGTCCTTTTCAATAAATGATTATCTTCTTCTTAACCGAGGATACAAGCCATATTATATGTGATTCAATCCGATATTTGTGTGTAATTATTAATTTTTTGAGGATTGGCTGGTCAAAACTGTTTGATGTGATATGGTGAATAGGTGGGAGATGGTGACACAGACCACTACTGCTGGCAAAGGCCGGAAGACATGACCACCCCAAGGACGGCCTACAAGATCGACCCAAGCAACCCTGGATCTGACCTCGCCGGCGAGACCGCCGCCGCAATGGCTGCCGCCTCCCTTGTGTTCCGCCAGAGCAATCCTTCCTATGCCAACGAGCTTCTCAACCATGCCTCCCAGGTGGGTTCAACCTCTCCCCACTTTTCTTACTAATGTTACACACCAGAGATGACTGCTGATATTTTTGGATTCAACCTGTGAATTGATACAAAATTTATAAGTGTGGCTCTAGCAATTTTAAATAATAAATTGGTCAAATTGAAACATTTAAGTTTACAATTTGTATTTATGTTCACTTAAAATGTCTATTATGTCAGCCAATAAGAAATTTATCTTTCTTGAAAATTCTAATTCTTATTTGAATTGTTCGTCTTTAACTAGNATATTTTTGGATTCAACCTGTGAATTGATACAAAATTTTTAAGTGTGGCTCTAGCAATTTTAAATAATAAATTAGTCAAATTGTAACATTTAAGTTTACAATTTGTATTTATGTTCACTTAAAATGTCTATTTTGCCCGCCAATAATAAATTTATCTTTCTTGAAAATTCTAATTCTTATTTGAATTGTTCGTCTTTAACTAGAAATATGTGTATCAACTAGTCTGAATATCCCCTAGTCAATAAACCAAAAATAAAATAAAAAGATTGATGGTTTGTACAGATACAAAGCTACCTATAAAATGATTATAAGGTATAAACCATCCCATTCGGTTGGTCAAGCCTTAGAAAAATGAATTTATGTATTTTTATTTTTATTTTTTCCTGTGTAGCATTGAGGTTTAGGCTTTCGGTAGAAGACTGACATGAGATTCCATTCATCCGTGCTTTCACGATGGGGTATACACGTGAGTATGTTAGCAAGGAGGGCAGTCGGGGATGCGTATGTTAGTGAACCGGTCGCTGTTAATAGGCAGTTACGATGGTTAAGCTTTTTGTCAGGCTGCTTGTTGTCGGTGTTAGTCATAAGTGGTGCTTGCTTCATTGTTAAATAGTTAATATAGTTTATTACAAGATAGTAATATTATATACAACGGTGTAATTAATAAGATTTGTTGAATTATCAAGGATCAATCTGGATGGTCTGCCCCATCTCCAGTATCGGATCGGCCCGTCTCCCCAAATGGGAGATTTGGAGTTTGAATCTTTTTGAATTAGATCTATGCATTTAATTAGCAAAAAAAAAAAAATAGACAGAAAGCTATGCATTTAGTAAACTCATAATCTTTATTGGATGAGAATTTAGTGTTTAAAATCAGATAAAAATGCCCGCATTGTACATCAAAACTAGATTCGGGACGTTGTAACAAATTGTATAGACTTACATCGACTATTTTCTCAAATTCAATGATTGACCGTTGTAGTTCAAATTGGGTTAAAACACGGACCTAACATGACTGGGGTGGCTTTAGATGAGTGTGGGAAAGGATTGATCTGTTGATATTGTTTGTTTTGGTAGGAAATTGNGCTGTAACAAATTGTATAGACTTACGTCGACTATTTTCTCAAATTCAATGATTGACCGTTGTAGTTCAAATTGGGTTAAAACACGGACCTAACATGACTGGGGTGGCTTGAGATGAGTGTGGGAAAGGATTGATCTGTTGATATTGTTTGTTTTGGTAGGAAATTGACAAACATTTAAACAGTAAAATGAGTGGGGGCATATATGCAAAACACAAAAGAATGAGGGAGCTTTTAGGAATAACAAATGTTCAAAATCGGGCATTAATGGCATATATTCTGATACATATCTGTTCTACCACCGTGTGATCTAACGATCAGTAAAGAACTCAATAGTTGTGATGTGTCTCACGTGAAAAAATTGTCGGTGATCTCCCGCCACCACAACACTCCCACATGGGCCCCGTCCAACCACACTTTCCTATGAAACTTCCCTTCACATATAAATCGCCCTTTCAATTCAACAATATTTTCAGGGTTTGCCATTCGGCTTTAACGTCTGTTTTTGTCTTTTTCAGCTATTTGAGTTTGCGGACAAATACAGGGGCAAATATGATAGCAGCATCACTGTGGCTCAGAAGTACTACAGATCTGTCAGTGGATACGACGTACGTGATCATAACTCTTTTAACTGCCCTGTTGCGCTGTGCGCACTCTAAAATAATATTTGTAGAAGAAATGAGATTTCGTATTGAAGTAAATTAAATTTAATATTTTTTTTTTCTGGGTTGAATTTGTATAGGATGAATTGCTATGGGCAGCTGCTTGGTTGTACAAGGCAACGAACAATCAGTATTACTTGGACTACCTTGGGAACAATGGCGATGCTCTTGGTGGAACTGGCTGGGCAATGACCGAGTTTGGATGGGATGTAAAATATGCTGGTGTTCAGACACTGGTTGCTAAGGTATATTTTTGTATCCTAAATCCGAATAAAATAGGAGGATTGCATTGAGTCACAAAAGCTATAGTAAAACTTGTCAAACTAAATATGATTTTCGATACCGAAAATTGTTCGAACCACGATGGCTACAACATAAACTCTTGACACCAAGTCCGCTCATAATCACAAAATCATTTTTTTTTTGAGTTCGATCGCTAGATAAAAAGTAAAATTATCTAGTTATAAGAATTTAATCTCAAGAAAGTATAACTAACATAAAAATCTTAATTTACTGCTCAATTAATACAAGTTGATTTCATTCCCCGAGACCGGTCAAGTAGAGGACCTTTGGGCGGAAATGANTTGAGTTCGATCGCTAGATAAAAAGTAAAATTATCTAGTTATAAGAATTTAATCTCAGGAAAGTATAACTAACATAAAAATCTTAAGTTAATTTAATAAACTGCTCAATTAATAGCAAGTTGATTTCATTCCCCGAGACCGGTCAAGTAGAGGACCTTTGGGCGGAAATGACTCCGTTATCTTGTATTCAATTGTGTAAACCCGAACAATTTCCTCCTTGTCATAGTCAATTCAAATTTTCCACGAAGAACTTTATTGCAATGACTTGATTTTCAACTGCCCTGGAGAATCCTATTATGTACTTCTCTTTTTGTTTTGGTACCCGAAAAAATTTGTCCAAACCACATGTTTTTAAAACTCATGTTGCAACGTAAACTCTAAATGCCCATAAAGCATATGGGGTTAAATGGGAACAATTTAGCCTCATCCTAGTCCATTCAATTTTGGCACGAAGAACTTCATCTCCATGCCTTAATTTTCTAGCGGGCAACATGAATAGTGTCAACATTCATGGAATGATATGATACTTTCTAAAATTGTGTGGATGATTGGTTTTAGCTCCATTTAAAACTGTTCTAGACCTTGTGCATTGGAGAATCCTTTTATGTTCACAATCACAGCTTCATAATTCTTGCTAGGGAGCTAAGTCAGGTAAGTAACTGGCATGTTCATATTATTGCAGTTCCTAATGCAAGGGAAGGCAGGCCAATATGCCCCAGTTTTTGAAAAATACCAGCAGAAGGCAGAATATTTCATGTGTTCATACCTTGGAAAGGGCACTAAAAATGTTCAAAAGACTCCAGGAGGTCTTAGTTTCCGCCAGAGTTGGAACAACTTACAGTTTGTTACAAGTGCTTCATTCCTTCTCACTGTTTACTCCGACTATCTAACCTCTGCTGGGAGAAACCTGCAGTGTGCTTCTGGCAGTGTTCCACCATCTGCGCTACTCTCATTCGCTCAATCTCAGGTAAATCTATCAACAGCCAGCTTAATAAAAATTAAGACTCCGGGGGAAATTTTGAAAGGAACCATTTGAAACTCGATACAAGTATATACTCTAATTTTGTTCAACAATCTTTTTTCCGTCCTTTTTGAAACATGATAGTAATTAAGCAGCTTTTAAATGAAGGCCCTAAGCAGCTGCAACAATATGTTTAGTAGCATGTAACGGAGCAGCCTTTTAAATGCACAGCTTGGTAGTTGAATTGAAATTATCCCATTTAATACCTACTTCTGAAAATAAAACTACATTATACTTTCAGAGTATTAGTGATGATTATATGTACTACTCTGTCTACATTATAAGAATATTGCCAAGGATGTCATGTGATGCATTGGGCCACTTTCACATGGAGAGCCCCACCCGAACCGGCCCTGAATCTATGTTATCAGCAACATTTGTTTCTTCCCTTTCATTCAAGCTTTTAGATGATTAATTCTCAAATGTTTGAACTCCCAGGTGGACTACATTCTTGGAGACAACCCAAGAGCCACTAGTTACATGGTGGGATATGGAAGCAACTACCCGCAACAAGTTCACCACCGAGCTTCCTCAATTGTCTCCATTAAGACTGACCCTTCATTTGTTAGTTGCCGCGGAGGGTATGCCACTTGGTTTAGCCGGAAAGCAAGTGATCCAAATCTCCTTACTGGTGCTATTGTTGGGGGACCTGATGCATATGACAACTTTGCTGATCAAAGAGACAACTATGAACAAACAGAGCCAGCTACATACAATAATGCTCCTCTGCTTGGTATATTGGCACGGCTACATGGTGGACATAGTGGATACAACCAGCTCCTTCCAGGTACATCATGGCTTAGCCTTGACTTGTATAATATGTTAGAATTTTGTGCGAGTTCTCGGTCCTAATTATGGCAATAACTCTGTTTTTTGTGCAGTTGTTCTTCCTGCTTCTAAAACCATTGTTACCCAACCAAAACCTGCTCCACAACCTAAAGCAAATCCTACTCCAGGTATTCTTTTGTCCCTCTAAAGCGAAGTTCTTTTTTTGTTCATTTCTAAGGAATCGCGCATCCCTGATGGTTTTTGGACAAAGGGTTATTGAACTTATTGCACTTGGCTGACAGTAGTACTTAAGTGAAACTTGTTTTGGGTGTACTGGAAACCAAAACTAACGAGGAAATTTGTTTTGCAGCTTCAAACTCTCCACTCACCATTGACCAAAAGATGACAACTTCATGGGTTGCCAATGGTAAAACTTACTATAGATACTCTAGTATACTGACCAACAATTCTCCTAAGACTCTGACGGGTCTCAAGCTTTTGGTATCCAAGCTCTATGGTCCTCTGTGGGGGTTAACAAAGAACGGTGATTCATACATCTTCCCAGCATGGATCAACTCTTTGCCTGCTGGGAAAAGCCTGGAGTTTGTATACATACATTCTGCTTCTCCGGCAGATGTGTCGGTATCAAGCTATACTTTGGTATGAAGGAGAAACAGGGTCATTGAGAAGAGAAGAGGTTCACATGGTTTCTCGGATTGTCGTGTAAGAACTGTGCAGCTATACAACATGCAGTCAGAAATATCTTTCGTTTCTTGTTTTAATTTTCAGTTTCTTTTTGATTTCCCAGTAGTGTTTTAGATCAAGTTAGAGTAAATAATATTGAAGAATGGAGGAAGAAAGGAGTGAAGAGACAATTATTTAAAAGGGTGCTCATCCTCTTTCTCATCCGCTTCATTAGTTGCATAGATTGAGGGACAGTGAGAGTTTGGCAGTTGAGAAGAGAAGAGAACTATTTCTCAACAGAGTTTAAGAAATCCTTTGCTTCTTTATACTTAAAGCAGCTTTTGAGGAGGGTTTTTTTTTTCATTGGGGGTTTTTGTGTTGTGATTTTGTAAGCTTTACACCAGTTCTTACTTGCTATATGAATGTAGTTTGTGCAAAGATGTTTTCTTATTTAACTGATGAAATGGTTGTTCTGTTACTGGACTTCCTGTTGCCTTCAAAAAAATCTTAGTACCCTCAACAAGTNTGTAAGCTTTACACCAGTTCTTACTTGCTATATGAATGTAGTTTGTGCAAAGATGTTTTCTTATTTAACTGATGAAATGGTTGTTCTGTTACTGGACTTCCTGTTGCCTTCAAAAAAATCTTAGTACCCACAACAAGTGGTTAGATAGTACAAGCAATTTGTTGGAGACGGTCACTAGAAATATGAAAAAATATTTATTGTAATGGTAATACCATGTCAACATTGTTACGCAGTATCACGAACTAATAATATGCAGATAAATAAAAAAGTGACTCCCACACAATCCAATAACTACTTGTCCATGTAAACAAATAACTCTTGTTCCATATAAACCAATAACTATCAAAATGGAGTTCACTAAGTTCATTTGGGATTTTATTATTGGTTGGTGATACTATGCCATCAATGTTGATATGATATTACCGTTATATTGAATATTCTCTACTAAAATATCAATGTGTGCTCAATGAGTTCAATTCTATGCTTCTATGTTTGTTTTCATTATTCAGCTGCAAAACGTTTGTATGAAGAATGCCCACATTCTCGAGCCAGTTTAAGCAATTTTTACTAATCTGGGGCTACTAAGGTGAATTGAAAACAAAACAGGGCTTAAGTGAGCTTCGTTTGCTGGCAGACTAGCAAAAGGAAAATCGAAAGTTGAACAATAAATCTTGATAAGGCAGGACCAAAGCATCTCACCTGAGGGGTGTAAAAATATGACACCATCTTATAATACATCACGAATTTGGAAGACTGGAGTCTTCATTAAATCACTTATTTCGCAGACGAGTTGTCCCAACACGATTTGATCAATAAATGAATCAAGTATGGTAAAATTAATCAAAAGAAATATACGATACCACTATTTTATATGCTGGTTATACATATTTTATATATAACACGAACTCAATATGATACAATTTGTTAGACATAAATTATTAACGAATCGTATATAAGCAGAGTACTTTTTGACATGAACCTGTTAAAACTCAACATGACTCCGTCCCACCAGACACGATTGACAGGCTTGATGTCACCTCATTGTCACAATTTAGGTGTCACGAGCTTAAATCACAGTTGAGTAGAAAAAATAATTACCTTTTCTTAACCCATATAAATACTAAAATAGAAAAGAAAGAAAATAAATTAAAGCAAAATGATATTTGGTAAATTAAAGCCAAATGATATTTGAACTTAAAATTTGTACTAAATAGGTAGTAAGTTGTAATAAATTGTAATTATTAAGTATATATTTTAAGTGCATATAACAATGCTTTAAATTAAAACAAAGTAGGTTAGATCAATTTAATTCTCCGCTTATCAGGGACACGTCACGCACCTTATAGTTTATAAATGGGTCCAGTTTGAAGAAATTTCAAAAAACACCATTCCACATCATTCCAATGGAATGTCTCCCTCTCCCAATGGAATCTCTTCTCTCTCCCTCACTCTCTCTCGGCTCTATGTTGCACATATAGAGTGGAGAGAAATAACTTCTTTAGTTCAAGCGTCCATATCGAAAACCGATCGGAAGCGGTCTCGGTGTACATATAAGTACTTCTCGAATCATCGAAAGTTTAATCACAATCAAATCCATCAACTGTGGAAAGAAATGGCGAACTCGTCAGGCCTGATCTAAATGGAGAGCCGTTTGGTTCTTATGCGCATAGCAACCGCAACTCGAAGCAGAGTCAGCATTCGANATTAGTTGCATAGATTGAGGGACAGTGAGAGTTTGGCAGTTGAGAAGAGAAGAGAACTATTTCTCAACAGAGTTTAAGAAATCCTTTGCTTCTTTATACTTAAAGCAGCTTTTGAGGAGGGTTTTTTTTTTCATTGGGGTTTTTGTGTTGTGATATTGTAAGCTTTACACCAGTTCTTACTTGCTATATGAATGTAGTTTGTGCAAAGATGTTTTCTTATTTAACTGATGAAATGGTTGTTCTGTTACTGGACTTCCTGTTGCCTTCAAAAAAATCTTAGTACCCTCAACAAGTAGTTAGATAGACTACAAGCAATTTGTTGGAGACGGTCACTAGAAATATGAAAAAATATTTATTGCAACGGTAATACCATGTCAACATTGTTACGCAGTATCACGAACTAATAATATGCAGACAAATAAAAAAGTGACTCCCACACAATCCAATAACTACCTGTCCATGTAAACAAATAACTCTTGTTCCATATAAACCAATAACTATCAAAATGGAGTTCACTAAGTTCATTTGGAATTTTATTATTGGTTGGTGATACTATGTCATCAATGTTGATATGATATCACCGTTATATTGAATATTCTCTACTAAAATATCAATGTGTGCTCAATGAGTTCAATTCTATGCTTCTATGTTTGTTTTCATTATTCAGCTGCAAAACGTTTGTATGAAGAATGCCCACATTCTCGAGCCAGTTTAAGCAATTTTTACTAATCTGGGGCTACTAAGGTGAATTGAAAACAAAACAGGGCTTAAGTGAGCTTCGTTTGCTGGCAGACTAGCAAAAGGAAAATCGAAAGTTGAACAATAAATCTTGATAAGGCAGGACCAAAGCATCTCACCTGAGGGGTGTAAAAATATGACACCATCTTATAATACATCACGAATTTGGAAGACCGGAGTCTTCGTTAAATCACTTATTTCGCAGACGAGTTGTCCCAACACGATTTGATCAATAAATGAATCAAGTATGGTAAAATTAATCAAAAGAAATATACGATACCACTATTTTATATGCTGGTTATACATATTTTATATATAACACGAACTCAATATGATATAATTTGTTAGACATAAATTATTAACGAATCGTATATAAGCAGAATACTTTTTGACATGAACCTGTTAAAACTCAACATGACTCCGTCCCACTAGACAAGATTGACAGGCTTGATGTCACCTCATTGTCACAATTTAGGTGTCACGAGCTTAAATCACAGTTGAGTAGAAAAAATAATTACCTTTTCTTAACCCATATAAATACTAAAATAGAAAAGAAAGAAAACAAATTAAAGCAAAATGATATTTGATAAATTAAAGCCAAATGATATTTGAACTTAAAATTTGTACTAAATAGGTAGTAAGTTGTAATAAATTGTAATTATTAAGTATATATTTTAAGTGCATATAACAATGCTTTAAATTAAAACAAAGTAGGTTAGATCAATTTAATTCTCCGCTTATCAGGGACAAGTCACGCACCTTATAGTTTATAAATGGGTCCAGTTTGAAGAAATTTCAANAATCTTTTTGTATTTAGGTTAAATTACTTCCTAGTATTCAATTAAATTATGCAGTATCAATAAAACATTAGCCTCCTCTTTTCTTATCTCTTGTATTTTTTTAGATTGTTCAACATGGTATCANAAGTCACGCACCTTATAGTTTATAAATGGGTCCAGTTTGAAGAAATTTCAGAAAACACCATTCCACATCATTCCAATGGAATGTCTCCCTCTCCCAATGGAATCTCTTCTCTCTCTCGGCTCTATGCTGCATATATAGAGTGGAGAGAAATAACTTCTTTAGTTCAAGCGTCCATATCGAAAACCGATCGGAAGCGGTCTCGGTGTACATATAAATACTTCTCGAATCATCGAAAGTTTAATCACAATCAAATCCATCAACTGTGGAAAGANGACTTAATCTCAAACACAGTATCAAGGCTTAATGTTGTTTGTTCCGTTTTTGTAATCTGGTATTTGTTCTGTTTTTGTAATCTGATTTTCTTTGTTTGTTAATTGTGGTCACTGCAAGAGACGATTCACTTCAGTCTGTGAGTATGAGATTGGATGGAAAGAATTATTCGTATTGCAGTTATGCGATGAGAAGTTTTCTTAAGGGTAAAAAGTTATGGAGATATCTTAGTGGAACTTCTGGAAAATCTAAGAATACTGATGCGGATTATGCTGATTTGATAGATATCTGGGAAGCAAACAATGTAAAAATTTTACCGTTCTCCAACTCCTGGGTTGGGCTATTTGTCTTCAACATTTGCCTCTTCCTCTCTCAGTTTTTAAAAAATTCATGTACCACTTGAAAATATTTTTTCAGTGCTTTAATTTAAACAAAAAATTACATCAAAACGCAGAAACAAGTTTGATTATTATTCTGTGAAAGTAATGTATATACATTTTAATATATAGATAAAAACACTTATATGAGTGTCATATACAACTAAACTTGCAGAACCATTCTGAATGTTTGAATAAGGAGTAAAAAAATGTAACTGACTTAAAAACTTTTTTATAAAAAAAGAAGAAGAGAAATTTGGAAATCCGTTCTCTTTGTGGACTTATTTGGTGATAAGTCCATCAAGGAAATTTGTTTAATATTAAATCTATTTTGATCTCGATTGTCAAAAATATCCCTAGTAATTACGTTTAATTAAAACAAATTTAAAAACTAATAACTCATAAATTGTAGGAGTTTGATTAACATTGCAATTTTTTTTCTTTCTCATCTATTTATATCCATATATAGAATATGATTATTTCTTTCTTTCTCTCACATATATATATATATATTAAATGCAAAAATTAATATCATTTAAACACAAAAATATAATAAAATTCAAAAACAAAAAAATAATAACATTAAGTATTAATATTTGGAAAAATAACAATAGTAACATGTTTAACAAAAATAGTAACATTTTAAATGAGTACCAATTGTTCTTTGAATTTGAATTTTAAATTTATGTAAAAAAATTTATTGATAGTAAATTAAAGGATAATAATTCTCAAATTAGGAAACTAATTTAAAGTTGTTTTTAAGGAAGGGTATTTTAAAGTTTTAAAAAAGTGGTGGATTTAACCACTTATTAGTAAAATTAAAAATTGATTTATTTTCAAATAATTTTTTTTGACAGACTAAACTCAATATAAATCCTTTGAGGAGCATTCAACCCCAATTTTCACTAAAA